CACTCAACTCTTCAGCACTCCTTAATATCTGAAAATATCTCCATGAGAAACACAAGCTGTTAGTGCCTTGACTTTCACATCATGTCTGTGCCTCATTTTGCCTCTCTTGGTGACCAGAGAAACTGAGGCTGCCCCATCCCTGGAAACGTTCAAGGCCAGGTTGGACGGGGCTTGGAGCAACTTAGGACAGTGGAAGGTGTCCCTGCCCATGGCAGGGGGTGGAATGAGATGAGCTTTAAGGTCCCTTCCAATCCAAACCATTCTGGAATTCCATAATTCTATAAACCATTGCTGCTCTTCCATCCTCTTCCTACCTCCTTTCTCTGTTTGGATAACAAACTGCTTACAACAGGACTTCAGTGTCACATCCCTGGAGGTGTTCAAGGCAGGACTGGACAGGGAACGTGTCCCTGCCCATGGTAGGGGGTTGGAATGAGATGGTCTTTAAGGTCCTTCCACCTCAAACCATTCTATGATTCTGTGGCTCTCTGATCCCACAGAGCCCAGGCTGATGAAATAACGACAACAAGAGCAACAGTAATAATGAAAACACACTGCACTCATGGAATGGAAGGAAAATTATCTGAATTTCCATCTGCTGCCTCCTTTGCCCACGCTCCCTCCAGCGTTGCCTGCCAGCCACTGCACAGCACCGCCGAGCCCTTCGCTGGCAGCATTTCCAGGAGCAGCAGCCCCTCGCCTGGAGCCTGGTTGTGCTCCTCGCCTGCCCCAGTGGCTGTTCTCTGAACCCCTCGTCTCCTGGCTGCGGGCTCTCGTTCTGACATCCTTTGCTCCGTGGGTCAGACGTTGTTAATCTCTCACTCCCTGCCTGGCACTTGATGGGCGGCTCCTCTGCTCGGCTCTCACAGCCTCATACCAGAGCTCACCTCTAATCCGAGTGCTCCCTCGAATCAGCGTCCTAAATCAAACCTGTCTTTTCCTTTTAAGTTCTCCAGGCAGTCCTTGTCCCTAGTGCTTCCATCACACCTCTCCCAGGACTCCCTCAATAAGAATTTTTAGCCTGGCCTCAGGCCATTTATCACACAACAGAGGCTGATTTGCCTCACAAATGACTTGTTGCACGGCCAAGATTCACATCTTATTTCTTTACTTGTTTTTCTCCTCCTTTTTCCCCCCACTTCTCTTTTCCCGGTCGCCCCTTCTCTGCCTCCTGCCTGTCCCATGCCTGAGGATGTGACATGCTCACATCCCCCTGGTTGATGGGGCATTTGAATGGGGCACAGAGAGAAGAAAATGCGTTTTGATTGGTGCTGTTTGCTCCTCATTTGAACTCCGGGCGGTGCACTCTGGTCCAGACACCTCTTGCAGGCTCTAGTCTTAGCAGACCTGAGCCCCACCTGTCAGTGTCTGTCCTCCCAACAACTCCAAAGGAATTATAGCACGTCCATGGATCCCACACCAGTGTCCTCAGGTAGCCAGAGACTGGTGTAGAGCTTTTAGTGGCACTGGCCCACTGCTGGTGGCACAGGAGCTGCCTGTCAGCTGGGAAACAGTTCTGTCCCTTCTGCCTTCCTTCCACGGGTCTCCTCCAGGTGGAATGGGGTTGTCAAGGTGAGTATCAGGCTCAGATGAGCTTCCAACCCTCCTCCAATTACCTGGTGTTTCAATTCCCCTGTGTTGTTGGCTCTGTTCATCCCAGCTGGGTCTTTCCCTGAGATCCCAACACTTCAACCTTCGAGTGGCATCAAAGGAATTCCCCAAAGCCTGTGGGGACTCTGGAGCTGATGCTGACAGAGCAGGGATCGATAGTGACGTGCCAGGAGGAAAATGCCCTGAGCCCTGAGTGATCTTTGCAGGGCTGGCTGTCGGGAAACACTTCTTTTCAAGTAAGACCCTTGGGAGGAATCTCTGGAGAGCTCTGAATGAAATGCCTACCGGGCATCTTTATCCCTTTATTTTTTTCAGAGAGGAGCTACATTTCAACCTCTCCAAGTGCACTGGAAACAGGATTTCAGGCCATTTTCTCAGACGGTTGTACTCACCCATAGCAGCTGTTATTTCTCTTGGAAGAAAATACATAAGCAAACATATATATATTCATCCATATATTTTTCTTTCCTGTGACACCAGCTTTTACTCAGGAGTGTAATTAGGAAACACAACACTTGCCCCTGGATGGAACCTTTCCCTTTACACACATTGCCTAATTTCACCGCCCCTGTGCATATTCATGGACTTAAATGTGTTTTAAACTATTAATTTGCAAGAACTGTGTTTACCTCTGTGTAAAACAATTTGGACCTTGACCTCAAGCCTCCTGTTAAGCAAATATTAAATTATAATTAAAGCAGGTACAATCTCCTTTGTGTTTTGAGTTGTGGTTCTTTGCAAGGCAGGAGTAAGAGCTTTGGAACTAGAAATGCTCTGATGCAGTTGAATATTAAGTTTCAAAACCAAACAAGACATGAATCTGAACCTCAGGGCATCCTTTAACAGAAATTACTTCAGATTTTCCACCTCCAGTGATGTCTTTATAGAGCAGCAAAGCTGATCCAAACGTGTGGAATGCTGCTACCTATTGGAATGATCAAATATAACACTCAACTCTCAGCTAGAAGACTTAAACCTCTCTAAAATAAAAAAATGGAGCAGAATTTGGCTGGTGTGAAATGGCTCACACAAGTGACCATTCAAACACTCGATGGACGGGTGACAATACAATTTAGTCGATGTAAAAGATACCTTGGAGGAAAAATGGAAATGAAATTCATGGAAATGGATGTTAATGCCAGGAGGGGCAATTTGATCGGGGAATACAGGTAGAAGGAAGAGGGAGGGGAGGATCCATCACCTCCTGTTTCAGATACAGATGACAGCAAAGAATGGCCACTGCTGAGAATCCCTGGGTGGTGATGGAAGGGGAGGAGGAGACTCCCTATAATTCCCTGACAGGAGTTTGGAACGAGGAGTTTGGTCAGGATTTGCTCCCAGGGAACAAGTGATAGGGCACAAGGAAACTGCCTCAAGTTGTGCCAAGGGAGAGTTAGATTGGATATTAGGGAAAATTTCTTCACTGAAAGGATTGTCCAGCCCTGGCACAGCTGCCCAGGGCAGGGGTGGAGTCCCCATCCCTGGAGGGATTCAAAAGCCATGTATGGGTCTTGGGGACATGGATCAGTGATGGCCTTGGCAGTGCTGAGGGATGATCTCAGAGGGGTTTTCCAACCTTAATAAGTCTGTGAAGATCCCTGTGGGTGACCTGTGAGCACTAGAAAGAGGACAAGGTGACACAGAGCTGGTGGTGAGATGACAGTTCATCCCTTAGGAAGGCAGCAGAGCTGATGGGATTCCACTAGGGTTATCCAGAGAATCAGCTGGGCTCCAAAACCCCCTCTGGGCTAGAAGATGGGCACCGGGAATTCAGGTTACAGAGCAGATAAGGGAAGTAGAGTGAACCCTGTCCTAGAGTGCCCAAGCAGGTCTCTGCTGGATATGAATTTTTTCAGGACAGGACAAAAAGAAACCAAAGAAGGCTCTTCCATGGTTGATTCTGATCTCCAGGGATTTCCTCCTGTTGGAAAACATTAAGTGAAACTTTTGAAAGGGAAAAGACTTGTCTCTCAGGACATGAAGGACTGGGAGGTATTTATTTGTTTTCACATCAGTCAAGCCTGATGAATCTGACCTGAAAGTGCAGAGAACTGGCAATAAACAGTGGGGAAAACAAACACTGTGAGGATTCCTGACAGGTGGATATGGCCTTAGAAGAGCATGAAAGCACCAGATTGATACCCTACTTTAAAGAAGGGAGTGGGGCAGCCAGAGCAGCCAGTTTAATAGGAACGGAATATAAACTACCCCTTCTCTGAAAGGGATATTAAAGAACAAAATATTACACTCGGATACAAAATGTAGCCAAAGAGAAAACACAGGAATCTGCCTGCAACTCCAGTTAAGTGCTCTGGAGAACTCAGCAGTGCGTGGCAGGTTTTGGGTGCTGTTCTTCTAATAAAACAAACTGAGGAGTAGCTAAAAAAACAGAAAATATGAATGACAAAGGGCTCAAAAATAAGATCTGCATGAAAAGATTGCTGAATAGCAGTGGTTTGGTTTAGTGAGTAATCAAAGAGGGGTTGGTTCAGTCTTCAAATACAATTTGTTGCAGAAAGGAAAAAATCCTCTTCTTCCACATCAGAGGTGGGTAAGACAAGAAGCACTGAGGCGATATTGTAGGAGGGAATATCTGTGTTCATAACAGGATCTTTAAACACTTTGAAAATGAGACTAAAGATGTAATTTGCCTGAGGATACTTCAGTTTGGAGAGGGACTTTTACAAGGGCCTGGAGTGACAGGACAAGGGGGAATAGCTTAAAACTGCCAGAGGGCAGGGTTAGATGGGATATTGGTGAGAAATTGTTCCCTGTGAGGGTGGTGAGGGGCTGGGATGGAATTCCCAGAGAAGCTGTGGCTGTCCCATCCCTGGAAGTGTCCAAGGCCAGGTTGGATGGGACTTGGAGCAAGCTGAGATAGTGGAAGGTGTCCTTGCCCATGGCAGGGGGAGGATCTGGGTGATCTTTAATGTCCCTTCCAACCCAAACCATTCCATGACTTTGTGAAGTTGATGCTCTTTGACAGCTTTAAGGAGCTCACCGATGGCAAGTTGAGCTTTATCACAGCAGGGCGGGCAGAGGATGCCGCACAGGGCGCCCTCGGTGTGCGTGTGTCCCCTTTCGCATTCCCTCCCACGACAGGAAGATTTGGGGAAATTCAGGGACATTCACACCCTCAATTCCCTGGAATATTCAGACTGTCCCTGTCCCATATTTTCGACCACGCACCGAGCGCTGCTCATCCCTTCCCCCTGGCCGCGCGGGAACACCCCACACGCAACCTGAGCCGTGTTTTAACGCATTTATTAAAATTTTAGCAAGTTTACACCCTCTTGTTTTCCTTTTGGTGCCCGCTGCGCTCGCCTGTTTCAAAAACTCTCTAACGAGACGCCCTTTTTGCGCGCCGGAGATGACAAAAGCCCCTGTGGAGGGAGGAAGGCCCCCAAGATGGCGATGCTGGCGGAGCGTGAGTGGCGATCCCGGCGGGAATGCCCCGGGAATGTCCCGGGAGTGGGGACGGGGAGCGGCTCCAGACCCGCCCCACAGCCCTCTGCTGAGGGGGCCCGCGCGCTGCCCTCCCGGGGGGTGCGGGGGAGGGTCGCAGGTGCCGATAAGGGGCTCAGGCGGGGTCCCAGAGTCAAGGAGGGGGTGCAGAATGGGCTGAGAGGCGGGAATTGCGGGGTCCCTGTGCCGGGAAATGGGGTCTGGAGGTTCACAGGGTCAAGGGAAGGGGTGGGGTCTGGGAGAGCGGGTATGGGGTCCTGTGCCGGGAAATGGGGTTGGGGGTTCCCAGGTCTAAGGAAGGGGGTGCAGGGGCTGGAGAGGCGGGATGGGGGGTCCTGTGTTGCCGCTAACAAATGCAACACAACCAAGAGTGCCGGTTATGCGTGTGCTTTATCGGGGCCCCGACGGGAACCTGAGGACTAGAGTCCCAAGTCAGGATTCCGAAAGACCTGAAGACCTCTATTCTCAGTTCAGCTTTTATACACAAACAAGTTTACATGCTGTTTCCACGGCAAAACAGTTACATTCAGTTACAAACAAGCTCATAGCAGTTTCTACAACAAAACAGTTACAAGCAAGCTCATACTTCATACTGATAACAATTAATAATCATCTATTCTAATCATAAATCTTACTTAAGCTGTCTTATCCCTAGAAACTGATTAACAGACCCTTACCACATCCCAGGTAACAAATCATTATATACGTGCTTGACTAACTCCTTTGATTGTTGTTGCCATCTCTTCAGCACATTCCATGCTCACAAACAAAGTTGCTAACTTACTACTTTAAAGTGTTGTTTTCTAGGCCTACTCTCCTACTAAGCCTTAGCCATTCTACTACTAAATTTGAATTATTCTGCAACACCTGTGCCCGGGAAATGGGGTCTGGGGGTCCGCAGTGTTGGGGAAAGGCGGGTCATGGGGGCGGAGAGATCCGGGATGGCTGGGAAAGGGGTTCAGGTGTTGAAGAACGGGGGGCCTGGAGGGTGGAAAAGGCAGGAATGGGGGTCCAGGGAGTCTTAGAATCAAGGAAGTGTAGGGTTCGGGTCTGGGAGACCCGGGATGGCTGGGAAGGGGATTCAGGAGGCCCTTGGTATTGAAGAACGGGGGTCTGGAGGCTGGGAAAGGCGGGAATGGGAGTGCAGAGGGTCCCTGTGTTGGGGAAAGGAGGGTCGTGGGGTGGGGAGAGCCCGGGCTGGACGAGAAGGGGGCTCAGGGGGTCCCTGGTGTTGAAAAACCTGTTGTCTGGGGTTTGGGAAAGGCGGGAATGAGGGTCCAAGTCGTCCCAGTCTTAAGGAAAAAGGAGATCTGGGGTCTGGGAAAGGCAGGAATGAGGATGTAGGGGTCCCAGGATCAAGGAAATGGATGGTTGGATGGTTGGGGTCTAGGAGACCCAAAGTGGCTGGGAATGGGGTTCAGGGGGTCTAGGGTCTGGGAAAGGCAGGAATGGGGGTCCAGGCATTCCCAGCATCAGGGAAAGGAGAGTCTGGGGTCTGGGAGACCTGGCATGGCCAGGACAGGGTTCAGGGGGTCTCCCGTGTTGAAGAACAGCAGGTCAAGGGGCTGCAAAAGCCAGGAATGGGGTCCAGGGGGTCCCAGGGTAAAGGAAATATTGGATGAATATCCTGTCTGGTAGCTCCCAGGTATAGAGAGAAAGAGAAAGAGAAAGAATAGAAAGATAACTCTTGTCTCTGAAGTTCAGGAAACAGAATCTCTCAGGGCTGTCCAGAGTAGGAACTACAAACGTTTGCTGCCAAGTTAAAAGTACATTCCAAGTAGTCTTTTCTGTTAAATGTAAAACTCTGTATGAGTAAAAACACGACTCAACTGTATTTTTATGTAACAGGACTAATATTCTCATCACTGAGTATTGTTAAGATTCTTAGGTGCTTTCAGTAAACTTACTGCTGTCAAAACACCCTTAAAATGAGAGCACAGAGTCTAGTGAATTTGTTTGCTTGACTGCAGGAAATAGGGACTATAATGAGGATTTAAAAATTATGGTTTCCACTGGAAAATACGGGTGTGAAGTGAGGAAAACAAAATTACGTTTGCATATGTGATTTTCTGGTTATTTTAGGTGTAAACTTTGGTGCCATTTTTTCAGGATTTGTTCATTATTTTATTTGGACACTGCACATGTCAGTAACCGTAGAGTAATGTGGGGTGAAAGGGACATTTAAAGCTCATCTCAGTCCACCCCCTGCCATGTGCAGGGACACCTTCCACTATCCCAGGTTGTTTCAAGCCCTGTCCAACCTGGTCTTGGACACTTCAGGGATGGGGCAGCCACAGCTGCTCTGGGCAACCTGTGCCAGGGCCTCACCACTCTCACAGGGAAGAACTCCTTCCCTGTATCCCATCTAACCCTGCCCTCTCTCAGTGGGAAGCCATTCTCGTTGTCCTGTCTCTCCAGGCCCTTATCCCAAGTCCCTCTCCAGCTCTCTTGGAGCCTCTTTAGGCTCTGGAAGGGGCTCTGAGGTCTCCTGGGATCCTTCTCCAGGTGAACACCCCCAGCTCTCCCAACCTGTCTCCAGAGCCTTGTCTTTCCTGTGAGCCCCGACCATCCATGGGCACACAGCAGGGGTTTGGATGGGAACTTTCAGAAATTATAGTTAAAAACACGTTCCAGGCCCAGAACTAGTCATGGTAAAAGGGTTTAATAATGGATCTTTTTCAAATTGTAGGATATCTGAGTGAAGGGGTTGAGTTGTCCAGCCCTGGCACAGCTGCCCAGGGCAGGGGTGGAGTCCCCATCCCTGGAGGGATTTAAAAGTCATGTCGATGTGGCACTTGGGGGTGTGGGTTAGTGGCAGCCTTGGCAGTGGTAGGGAATGGTTGGACTCGATGATCTCAGAGGGTTTTTCCAGCCAGAATGATTCTGTGGTTCTATAAAGAAATGACAGTTTTCTCCACTGGATGGTGCTGCTCGCCCAGGGTTGCATCACTTTACAAGCAGCCCAGAAGGTTGGTGTTAAATTGTGAGCTGAATCTTTTAGCTGGAAGTTAGTGCCTTGTTTCCTTTCTTGCTCTCAAGACATCGGTGAACAAACATTTCTGATAAATTATTGACTAAACAGTGTTTTTTGTTGTTTTCTAGGAAAGAGAGGATGATTTTATGCTTCCTGTAGGTGGCATGGAGCTATTTCCAACTTCCTTAAATTATTCTCTAAAGGTGTAAGCAAGTTTGTTTGGGGGGTTTTCCTGCATTTGTCTTATCCTGTGTAAAAATAAGAGTATGTCAACCTTGTAGAAATGTGACGATTAATCCCACAGTGGTAGTTAAGAAGTTTGAAATACATGGATTGCAAGTGCTGGGAAAGGGAAGGTCTCTTAATTTCAAGCTTAAGAAATATTTATTACAGGTGCCCTTGTGTTTTTTGTTACAAATGTCTTGGGAGTGAAACATCTCAGAGGTTTCTGCACAGGGAAATATTCAGGAAAAATAATAGAAAGTGAATTTTAAAGTGGATTAGTTGGACTACCTCAAACAACTCAATTTGGAAGTTAATTTAAATTCAACCATTCAGTTGTCATGGGTCACTTCACTGTGCAGACAAATCATTAGAAAGATGCAGTGGTTTGACAACTGTAGGAGTTGGGATCTGCAAAGTCACCACCCAGGGAACTGGTAACAGAGAGTGTAAGAGAGTATGGCCATCCTTAAAATGTTGTTAAAATTAAAAAAAGGCATTGAATAGTTTTCGATGGCCGAGTGAGGGAAAGTTGATGTTAATTGAGAGATTTTAGAGGTAGAGATGAAGAAATATGATTGGAAAGGAGGGCAGCTGCTCAGCTGGGCAGCATGACCTCTGGTAGAATCCTGGAATCAGAGTCATTAAGAATGGAAAAGAGCTCTAAGATCATTGAGTCCAGCCATTCTCCATCACTGCCCAGGCCACCAGTGACCCATGTCCCCAAGTACCATATCCACATGGCCTTGAAATCCCTCCAGGGATGGGGACTCCACCCCTGCCCTGGGCAGCTGTGCCAGGGCTGGACAATCCTTTCCATGAAGGTGTTTTTCCTTAATATCCAACCTGAACCTCCCTTGCCACAACTTGGCGGCGTATTACTCTTGTCCTGTGGCCCCTGGTTCCCTGGAAGCAGACCCCGGACCCACCCCCCCTGGCTTTCCATCCTGTCCAGGGAGTTGCAGAGCAGAAATGTCCGCCTGCAAAGCCTCCTTTTTCTCAGGCTGAGCCCCCCAGCTCCCTCAGCCTCTCCTGCTGCTCCAGCCCCTTCCCCAGCTCCATTCCCTTCCCTGGACACCCTCCAGCCCCTCAATGTCTCTCTTGTCTGAGGGGCCCAAAGCTTCCCCCAGCACTGGAGATGCCCCAGCAGTGCCAGCACAGGGACAAGCACTTCCTTGGCCCTACTGCCACACCAGGGCTGCTCCAAGCCTGTGGAGTTGTTTCATTTGTTGCTTCCCCACCTTTTGTTGGCAGCACAGGCAGGACTTGGAGTAGATGCTGCTCTGAAGGCTGCCTGGTGGGAATAATCATAGAATCCCAGAATGGTTTGGTTGAAAGGACCTTAAAGATCATCTCGTTCCAACCCCCTGCCATGGGCAGGGACACCTTCCACTACCCCAGGTTGCTCCAAGCCCTGTCCAGCCTGGCCTTGGACACTTCCAGGGATGGAGCAGCCACAGCCTTTAAGGTTAATAAGTTGTTTCCTGTGCAGAAGTGAACGAAGCAAAGGCCTTGTTAACTCCTCTCACAGCTCTTGTTCATTTAATCCGCTGTAAAATCTTTTTATGGATCTTTTTGAGCTTCAAAGCTTTGGAAGTTTGTTAAAAAAAGCCCCCACTGTGCGTCTGACAGTGCTGGTTCTTTAAGAACAAAACTAAACAGGGCACAAAATGAGTCAAACATCCCCATAGTATTCAGTCCCTCTGGCCCAGATCCCAAATCTGGTGTTTTAGGGCACGATGACTTCCTGATTACGTTGAAAACACCTCAGTGAGTTTGGCTTTTCCCTGACTTTGTGTGGCCTTGGGTGAACGGGTCATTTTTGATCCCCCGTTTCCCATGGTGGTTAATGAAGTTTGTGATCTTCCTGTCTCCCATCCTTTGTTTGTCTTGTTTATTTAGGTTCTCTTCCTGCCTGTGCTTAGGTGCACACTTGAAGTGCCTTGTTAACTGAGCTGGCTTTTCCTCCTTGATTTCCAGGAAGCTATTCCTGGTGGGAGAGGCAAGAACTCGCACGTGGGCCTGGGGGACTGGAGTTTCTTTAGGAATCTGCATAGGACAAAGGAGCTTTGATTCTCCTTTGGATCTCTTAACTCCTGCAATAGTTTCTGGTGGCTTTTCCCAATAAATTTCCCAATAAGTTTCCTAGTAAACCATTCTTGGCAAATCCAGAAGCTGAAATCTCATTAAAACTTCTGTGTTGTGGTTAAAAGGGAGACTGGATAATGGATTTTGTCCAGAACTGGGAAAGCTGTAATCACCTCCCCCGTAGATTTTCAAAATTGGAGCAAATATGGATTTTAGGCCTGTACACTTACATGGTAATCCTTGAAGCCTTCCCTGAATCGCAGCTTATCCCTAGGGACAACAACTTCCAACTTTGGTGTTTGGAACTAGTGATCTTCAAGGTCCCCTTCCAACCCAAACCATTCTGTGGTTCTATGATATCAATTTTACTTTGGCATTCTTCACATTAATAATTAATATTTTCACCGCCCTTTTTTTGTTATCGTTGGGTTTTCTGTTAAGTAAACTTAACCCCCAAATATATTCAGCCTGGCGTAAGTTCTGGGGGTTTTTTTTTGGCAATGGAGAGCTGGAGTTGAACTGATTCAATACTGTGAAAATGTCTTTAGAGCCTGTTTGAACTTTTCCTCCCTGTCCCAGCCCGGAGAAAGCAGAAGTGGTCCGTGGATCCACGAAACAGCGCTTGGAGTAAAGATGACTCTAAATTCGGCCAGAAGATGCTGGAAAAGATGGGCTGGTCCAAAGGAAAGGTAGGATCCAAAGGAGAGTTCTGTATCTGAAGGGTCTAAAACTGCCAGGGAGCTCTGATTTATTCTCCTAAGTGCACAGAGAATTTGAGCAATGTTGGATTTCTACACTTTGTTGCAAAGGCCTGTTTTTGACTCTCCTGCTTTCCAGTTTTTCTCCCTTGTTTGGCAAGTTAATGTCCCCAAATAGGAGCAAGAGTTGGCACATTTAATTAGGCAGTGGTTAAAGTCTTTTAAGTTACAGTTATGCTCTCAGTTTTCTCCCTACTTTTGATTTAAAGCAACTCCAGGACCTGCTTTAATCTTTCACCCATTTTTAAGTGTTCTGATCTGTTCCTCGAACCCCCAAAATGCAGCATTCTGGGAGCTGAATCCCTTCCCAGCTCCAGCCAGTACCTGTGGGTGAGGGCACTGGTTTCTGGCACTAAGAATAACCTCTGGGTTATCCTGCAAACTGCTCAGCTGCCCCTTAAAACCACTTTTAATTCCACAGAGATGCCTCAGCAAAGCTGAGATTTGGGCCTGCACATCAGCGTGTTTAGTGCTAAGAATGCCCACAAAACCCCCACTACCTTTATTTAATTCTCCTCCTATATTTTCTCACCCAGACTTTCTTTAACAGAAATAAAATTAGGATCATTCTCCATCCTGTGAATGCTTTAAAGCCTGTTCTCACATTTCTCTGTGTAGCTGCTGTTGCTTCAGTTGCCTCACAACAAGTTTCCCACTTGAGCTGCTGGATCTTCCTTTCCAATGGTTACAGCTGTGCAAGAAGGATTTCTCTCTCCATTCCACTACAAGCTCAAACAAATGGAACCTCACCTCAACCAAATTAATGGGCAAAAGCCCATTTCTGCAGTGCAATTAAGCTGCTTACACTAGTCCTGTCATCAGTTGTATTGGAATTGGGTCAGGGCAGGATGTGTGGCTGAGTGGCCTGTTTGCTTCCACACTTTTTTTTGGGTAGCAGGAGTTTCAAGGCAAATTTTCCACCCCAGGGACCAAATGAACTCAAGTGGATTTGTAATAGCAACAGCCTTTTTTTTCAATATGTCTCATTCCTTTAAATATTAGATATCCCAGGATCTCTCCACAGGGCTTTTCCCCATTGCTGCTCCACATCCATGTTCATTAAAGCCAACACACTTGGCTGGTAATTTGTTACTGGTGACAAATTAGGCAAAAAGTAGGTGAATACCAGGAATAAAGTTATAAACCAAATGCTTTGTCTTTTATTTTTTTAACCCTGATCATACAGTTAAGAAAGATAACACTGGACCTGAGAATTGCTTCCCAGATTTGAATGACTGTGGGTTTTAGGATAGAGAATTCCCATAGTTGTTTGCTCCAATATTTCCATCAAATTATGAGTGTGAACGAGGTAGAAAAAGTTGTTAATGTCCTGATTCTCCCCTACCCCTCCTCTGTTTCCCTCCCTTATAAACTTGTTTGGGATTATACTGTCCATGTGGATCTGCCTTCCCAGTGACAGAGGTATTATCTTCTGTATATGTAGTGTCTTGGTTTAAAACAGTAAACACTCTGGGCTTGCTTAGGAATGTCAGGTGACTTCCTGATTAATCACCCAACTGCTTAATGTTGTTGCTATTTTAGTGTTTATAATACTTTGCTGGAGGCTTAAGTAGTAAATTTTGAAAACTGAGTATCTCATGTGCTAAAGCCTGTGAATGAATTCAGTTCAGGCAGGAAAATAAATAGTAAGTTGTGATTTCTTGTTGTATTTCATTGCAAAGTCTTTAAGTACAAAAGCTCTGATTGCTCAGTCACTGCTGTAAAATCCTTACTTTTTACCTTTAAATCCTCCTTAGGGTCTTGGGGCTCAGGAACAAGGAAATCCAGAACACATCAGGGTGAAGGTGAAAAACAACACGCTGGGATTAGGAGCAAACATCAACAACGAGGTGAGAACTAGGCCCAGGTGAGGGAATGGCTCCTGTTTCAGCTAAAACACAAATTTTTAAATAGAATATTAGTGAAATCTGTTGTCACATCTGGTGGTAGAATGTACCAAACAGGACTGTTTATGACTTACAAACTCAACCCTTATAATTTTATCTCACTCTGGAGTGACTGTGCGAGCTGTTGGTGGTGTTATCCCCCTGTGGAGCTTCCCAGGGTCCCTCCCACCAACAAGGATTGAATATACCCAATTAAGTTATTACTTAATATCTGTTTTAGCAGAATTTGTGTTAGTTCTGAAGACTTTTGCCTTGTATTCATGTGGGTGATGTTTACAGGACAACTGGATTGCTCATCAGGATGACTTCAACCAGCTCCTGGCTGAACTGAATAGTTGCCATGGACAGGGTGAAACAGGTAGGTTCATGCTTTGCTCAATCAGATGCTGGAAACTTAGCAGAGTTTCCATTCTGTGTCTTAAAAGATGAGCTGAGGCCCAATTTGGGCTCCTTGCTGAGGTTGACAACTCCTCCTTCTCCCCCAAAATCAGTGAGAGCCAAAGGATGTGTTGCCGTCCACGACCATGCTGAAGTTTCTCTGCCTGGATATGTAGATATCTCAGTGGATCAGTTTTGCTCTCAGGACTCAAATAAAGGCTTTTTGTTGTTTATTTTATCCAGGATCACAATATTTGGGACCTTTTTCTGGGCTGTACTACAGCAACACTTGTTTCTTTATCCAGAGTCTGGCTGAAGGCTCACAACAATCACTCACAGTTGCAACGTTTTGTCTTCCTTTTAATAGTGAATTGTCACTCCTGGCTTCCATGTTCCACTGGTTTCTTAAATACCTCCTTTTCCTGTCCTTGGAGAGTTGCTCCATAGCTTTTGACTTAGAGTTATGCATCTCTGCTTTGAGTGTGCTGTAATGTGATTTTTGTAGCCCTGGTGTTGAGCACACAAGTGGGGAAACCACAACTTTCCCAAAAGGGCTATTTATAAAGTCCTTTTATTTTTGAAAAGCTTTGTACAGCTTGGCTTTGGTTTGTAAAAATGAAGTTGTGGTGGGTGTGAGCTTACAGAAAGAATGGGTTTATCCAATACCTCTCCTTTAGTTAGACTCAGGTTTAAGTCAGATCATACATCTGAACAACTCTCTGGAGCTTAGTGAATTTAGCAACTCTTCGTTCATTTATTCTTAACCTTTGAGCACTGAAGGTTTTCTAGGAGAGAAAATGCAGAAAGGTGAGGAGGAAAATCAGTTAGCAAGAAGGTTCTCTAATCCTAGACAACTGGGGTTAAAATTTTGAACCTGATATTTAAAAACACCTTTTTTAAACTGCTGTGTAAGTTCTCCTTGTGCCCTGGAGCCCTGATCATGGTCTGAGGCCACACAGCACTTGGTGCTGTCCTTCAAGTCCTCAAGAGGTAGAAGAGCATATCACAGGGAAATTCCAAAAGTTCCTTTCTGCCTTTGTAACTAAATCCTACCCAAGTTCCAACTTGAGCCATGGGAAGATGAGGAAGGTGTAGCTGGTGGGAAAACCTGCAAAGTGCTGGGCAGAGAGTTGAAGTGACTTGCCCAGGGACACAGTGAGTCAGCACAGAGGCAGGTTCATTGAGCAAGGCTGTCTTGTTCCTAAAGCTGTTGCCTGGGTCACTGATGCAAAATGCTCCATGAAAGCTGTATTTCTCCCTGCTTTACTCAGTTATTTTAAGTTTTCAATCACTGAGAACAAATTTGGGTGCACATTGAAAATTCCTGGTCACAGTCCCCTTGGGTGATTTACAGAAAGCACAAAGCTCTAAAACTTGTTTTTTTGGCAGTTTGCTTAAGCTGGCAAAACTCATCCAGCAAACTCTGCCTGCAGCTGTGCTGCAGGATCAAATGTTACATTACTGGCCATCAGCCAGTTTCAAACTGCATTAAAAGTCAGCTGAAAAACTTCATTGTTCTTAAAGAGCTGCTGGAGTTGCCAGAGCTGGGTTGCAATTAGAGGTCGGAAGGGAAAGGCCCTGTGGGGGTTGATTTGCCAACATTCAAATACCCTCTATGTAGTTTTACCTTTCTTTTCCTTTTTCCTAGGTGAGCACCCAGTGAGGGCAGGTTTAATTAGATTAGATGTTAGGAAGAAATTATTTATTGTGAGGGTGATGAGGCCCTGGCACAGGTTGCCCAGAGAAGCTGTGGCTGCCCTATTCCCTGGAAGTGTTCAAGGCCAGGTTGGACAGGGCTTGGAGCAACATGGGATAGTGGAACAGGGTTGGAACTACATGATCTTTCCCACCCAAACCATCCTATGATTCCTGGCTCTTTTGCTGGGATACTCAGTGATGAAATCTGTGTCCCTTTCCCATTTTAAGATGCAGAAACATCATCCTGGCTGTGTCTGTGATGTGCCTTGGAATATCCATCTGTAGAAATAACATTTGACTTTCTTGCTTGGACTAAATGGCTTTAAAAAGCACAATAATATTCCTGCAGTGCTCACTCAGTTTGTCAGAGGATTTTTTTTTTCCAATCCCTGGCAATAGGGATGCACTTCCCTGCCCATTGCAAGTGCCAGCACGTTTTGGGAGTGAAATTCCTCCCTGCAGGCACAAGGCGGTGCTGCTGCGCCTTTCCCTGGAAGAATAATGTGGAAAAGGAAGCGCTGTGGGAACCCTTTGCTGTGTAATACTCCTTTTGGTACAAGTAGCTTGGAGAATAGGCTTGAAGTGTCGTGCCTCTGGTCAGGATATTTAAGTTGCGATGCTTGTTTTCCCCACAGAACGTTTTTATTGGGGAATTTCTGTTAAAAACTGGGTTTGCTGGTCCTCTCTTCCCATTAGGGCTTATTGTGGGAGAGTGGATCTCAGCTTTTTGGCACTCAGCATTTCCACTGCAGGCTGAGGATTTCAGGTTTAGGTCAGTGATTCCATCATCAGGTGGCACTACCTAACAAACAGGGAAGTGCTGGAATTCCAGTGTCAGAAAAGCTTGGGCTGAAAAGCTTTCCAGGGTGGGATCATGTAAAAAAGATGACTCAACTTGGCCCTCAGGGCATGGGTTCATTTCCTTACCCATTCCCAGTTGCCACTGGAAGGAAAAAAACATCTCATCAGAGTAACCTTTTCGTGGAGTTACAGAGCAGAGAATCCTGTGGTGCCTATTTTCAGGACAAAACTAATAAAGTACTTGTTAACTGTACAGCAGGTTGATTCACTCCTTCTGAGATTTTTCTGGGGGGGAATTAACAGGCTCTGTGGGTGCAAAGAGAAGGTTTGTACCTCTAAAATAACCTGCCACAGCTCAGGAACGTGATGTCTCTACTGTTAAATAATGGGACTAATCCTTCATGTGGCTTTAAGCTGCTGCCAATCTCCCAAACTTCTGAGTGAATCTGGAACTCAGCCAAGCCCAGAGGCCATTCCCACTGGACAGTTTAGATGCAATCCCTCTCCTGGAAACTAGGAAAATGAAATAATATGGATGTGGCAGTTTGTTTTAGCTGGCCTGAGGGACAGAAAAGCTTTGCCACCATTCAGTTTCCTTACACAGATGGATCAGCTTATGTCCAAATAAAGGTATTTTGTGTAGGGTTAGAAGTGGAAATCCTGTAATTTCCCCCCCTTTCTCTACCCAGGCAGGTTAAGTATTTTATTTTGCACTATTTCTTACATCTTTCTCAGACTTTGGCACTGGGGATGTTTTGTAACAAACAGCACAATAAACCCTGACCTGTTACTCTTTTCTAACCACAGAGATGGATCTGCCTTAGACCTGGAGTGCCTGTATCTGCCTTTTCAAACTACATTGGATTGGAAACAGGAAGGGAAAGGGATGTGGCAAAAAAAAAATCAAGCAGTGACATGTCTCAGACAAAACTTGCCATGCTTCCTTCAGTAATATATTGTGATATTTTGTTGAGACTGGGTTTTGAGAGAGAAAGTTAAATACACTGGTGTTTGAATGTGGTGGTTAAAGTGCCTCTGACAGGGTTGGAACCTGTTTCCTTGGATTTTTTTTTTTTTTAGAGCCCTCAGTGAAAAATCAGAAAAAGACATTCAGCCTCGAAGAAAAATCCAAATCTTCCAAGAAACGTGTACATTATATGAAGTTTGCCAAAGGTAAGAGGGGTTTTGTTGTTTCATAAGCTCTGGCCAAGCTTAGAACAAACCCTTTCAGGGTGATCTGTTGCCTTCTGAAGTTAAATCTTGGTTTAGGAATACCCCCTGCAGCAACTTGCTTAGAGCTATAATGTGCTCTCTCTCTTTATTTTGGGTAATTTTGGATGGCTTTAGGCTGATTAGTTGAATAAAACAGTTCCTACCTGAAGGAGCCACCAGCTGGGTAAAGGAACAGCGAATATTCCAAGTTGTGGGTGTGTGAGCAGGGGATGGGAGGGGGGAAAGATGATGATGGAGTGACTTATGACTTAGGATCTGCGTGGCACTATCCCCTGAGATCTCCAGTAACCCTGCTCAGAGATCATGAGGATGGGATCAGGGATCAGATTAAACCTGAAGGAAGGCAGGAAAGCCCTCTTACGTCCACCAGATACCTCATGGGATAAATTAGGACAGTGGTTGGTGGCCAGAAAAACTATCAAAAACTCATGGAGTTTAGTAATTTCTTTCTTCCTTAGAGCAATTACATTATTTCAGTCATCCCTGGGTTTGGCTCCTGACAATTGTGGAATCCTTTCTCTGTTCCTCTGCTCCCCTTTCACACACCCACATGCACATGGTGTGTGTACCTGTTTCAGGGTATGGATAGGATCAGTTCCACTAATGGCTGATTTATTAAACTGAAAGCTCTGTGCAGTGTTTTTGGACAGCAAATGCCTCTGCTAAAACAGAGCTAATTGATGTCTGAATGGAGGCCAAATTTTTTATGTTGGGGTTTGGGATTTTTGATTAAATAAATTGGCCTTGAAGTCAAACCTGTTAACTCGACCCTGCCACTTTATGACATTAAACAATTAAATTGGTTCAGGGCTTGCAAGTGCAGAGGCCATGGCCTATTTGAGGGAGTGGCAAAGAGGATTTATTTTGATTTGGATTTAACCTTTTGCTAAATATAGAGGAAAAAAGAAGTGTCTTTTGAGCATGTAAAATACAGATCAAGGCTTTCATATTCACAATACCTCTTATTTGTTTGGTCGTGTTTCCACAAGGCAGCCCCTTGTTTGCTTGCACCCTCTGTGGTCTAAACCAGGGAAATTGTCCTTTTTCAGGGAAAGAGGAAAAGTTATTTGAGAAGGGCTGGTGTTGTTGTGGCCCTTGTTGTTCAAGCCTGATCCTGCTTCCTTTCAGACTAAACAAGACAAGCTCACACAAAAGCTGGAGAAGGGAACAGCGACGGCACAAAATGCAGCTTCCGTTTGCTGGGCTGGAGAGACACAGGGAGCACACACAACCCTTGGGTCTGGGAATACACACCAATCTGAGATTAAAACACTGACTGCAGCTGCTTTTCTAGCAGCTGTTCCACTGGGATGCTGCTGGAGGTTATGAATGTCAGCTGAGTTGGTTTTCTGTTAGAGAGAGAGGAGCAAGGGAAGGCACGGGCAGACAGTGTAAGGAGGAGCAGGAGGATTTTAGGTGTCATTTTAGGTGTCATTTTCCAAGCCTTGGCCAAGATAAAGCTGAAAACAACTACCAGTCTCATCCAGCTTGCTTGGGTAAGGACATTTAGAGGCTGTGCAGTGAGGCACCAGGAAGCTGGGTCACACTTTCTCCTCTAGGTTGATGTGTGTGTTTGCCCTCTGTAGGCAGTTCAGGATCCCGAGGAAAAGAAACAGGTTAAATAGTCAGATTTTGGGTTGTTTGGGTTTTTTTGTCCACTACAAGATTCATTTTGAGGTCACTGATTTTGGAATCAGAAAATCAAGTGATTAAGACCCCAACAGACTCCTAATTAGTTGAACTGTCTGGACGAATTTTGTTTAAATCTTTAACTTTTGCCAAGCTTTTTAAAGAGGTTTTTCTGAGAGAAGCTGTGGAAAACCCAATATAAAGGTTCCTGCACTGTGGAATTGGCAAAACTTTTGCTTGAAACTCTGCATATCACATCACATCACATCACACCCTTCTGCTTCCCCCTCCCTGCTCCATGTCTGATGTCCAGTTAGCCACACAACAACCAGATGGGAATAATGGTCCTACTGGGAATCTTTGCTTCACCTTCAAAATTGTTTTGAGTTGGAATAATCCAGTGTGTTGCAGAGATGGGGGTTTTGCTTTTCAGAAGCAACATCAGGAATCAAAGGAAAGTCCCCAGGAAGTAAAGATGGATTTTTTTTTTCATTGTATGGAGGACCTACAACTCCCTAATTCTGTCAGAGACAGGGAATCCTCCTGAGAATCCAAAGATCCTACACATACACACATTTCCTCATGAGTCCTTCATTTAGTGTCTTCATCACAGAATCACAGAATGGTGTGGGTTGGAAGGACCTTAATGATCATTAGTTCCAACCCCCTACCATGGGCAGGGATACCTTCCACTAGACCAGGTTGCTCCAAGCCCTATCCAGCCTGGAGTTCCTGATTTTTATTCACCTCCTGATTGTTGTTCACCTCCAAAAGCAATTCCTCTATCTCTGTGGGTCAGTTTGTGTTGCCAAAATGTCCCTGTCATCACCAGATGTGAAGGTTTGGGATTTTTTTCCCTCTCTTTACCCCTTCCAGGTAAGGACCTCTCATCCTGCAGTGAACATGATCTGTCCTGCATATTTGGGAAGAGACAGAAGAGTGGGAAGACACAGGTAAACAAGAAGCTTCACCTTTCTCTTGTTTCCTTGCTTATTATCCCTCATAACAAAACAGTATTTAAATGTTTTGCTGCTAATGTGTTGTTTCTACTAGAAAGGCTGTGCTTGAACTGTGAGGAAATAAGAGTGAATTTAATCCATATTTTGTGAATTATTGTGATGTAACTTCTTTGGAGTTAGGAAACTCCAGTATTTTTATTTCACAGTTGTTAGGAAATGCACATCACCAAGGAGAATTTTGCTTCATCTGAAAGGTCAAAGGTTGGACTCAATGATCTAAGAGGTCTTTTCCAACCTAAATGATTCCGTGAAAGATCCATAAATATCCAAAATAAAATTGGATATTCAGTAGCAACTGGGCAATCTCAACAAACTGCCCTTATTCTCACAAAAATTGGGAAAGGCTGAGCAGCTGCAAAGGACTCAAAGGTGGCTTGAACACTGATAAATATTTAATGAGAAGACCTTTCCCCTGACTGTGTGTAATGAGAGCAAGGTTTGGACTGGTTTTTATTTTATTTATGTGCTCATTAGCATTTTGCACTTGCAGAGAACAGACCTGCTGTATCAGTGTATAAAATAACAGACACTGTAACATGAAAAATCCTGTGGAAAAAACAACACCTGGAAAAGCACAAATGAATATGTTGCAAGAATTGGTTCCAAGTTGTCTGAAATCTCTTGTTTAGAGGGAAAGAAGGGGCTTGAAATTAAGTGGCAGTTTCTGGAATCCCCTGTATGTGTTTGACACCTTGCTTCTCGTGCAGTACTCTTGGAAATTGTTCTGGAACTTCACATCAGGCCTCTGGGAGCTTTGGGAGGAGAGGAATAAGGGGAGAATGTGCTTGAGAGGTCTGGGATAGTAGTGGAAATAATACAAGGTTTTTTACCTGTAGAATGACAGGGGAGCTGGTGAAGAAGGAATAGTGATCCACTGGGGATTGTTCCCTTGAAAAACCTCTGTAAAATAAAGAATACTTCAGTGGTGTATCTTCACTTGAACAGTTTGAAGGATTTGTGCCATTATCACATATAGTGTTATATTTCCAGTGAATCTGCTGTAGATTTTGAAGTGGTTGGTAAGTTTATTGGTGACAGAGAAAGATGTCAAGTCTGTTCCTGAGTTCTCTGTAAAATACACTGACAGCTAATTAAACCAGGAGGCTGGAAGAAAGTTAAACAAACTAAGAACTGCCCTGTCTTGTCTGCCACTGCAAAAAACAGTGGGAACCTTTGTTACAAGTCACATGGTTTTGAAAGGTAAGAGCTTGGGACCAGGCCATCAGCCACCACAGAACCAATCTTAGCTTATTACTGTCTTGAAATAAGAATTTGGGGACTTCAAATCCCTGAGAGCTGCTGGAGCTCTCAAATGCTGTGAGTGAACTTGCACTAAGGGGAGCCCTGTTGGTTAACACTTGTGAATATGCCATGGATCCACTGCTTGGCTCCCTTGCTGTCAGAGCAAGATGAAGCAGGACAGTCTGGGATTTGAAGCAACTCCACAGGGCTGTGGTTAAGGGAGTTGATTCACACACACAAGAATCCTCCTCTGGTATGCAGGAGGTCTCAGGCCTGCTTGTCACTTGGTGCTCAACTGTTTTCTGAGCGGGCTCTTGGGGCACAGGATGCTCTGCTGTGCTCCCCACCTCACCCTGGGCTGGCCCAGCTCCAGGTGGATCCATCTTTGGATTCTCTTCCATTTTCTTTTTCCCCTGGAGCCCTGTTGGTTAACACTTCTGATCCCCTAAATATGCCATGGATCTGCTGCTTGGCTCCCTTGCTGTCAGAGCAAGATGAAGCAGGGCAATCTGGGATTCAAAGCAACTCAGCAGTGCTGTGGTTAAGGGAGGGGGTTTTGCCCACCCATGAGTCGTCCCAAATAGCTGGTCTTGTTTTCTCCACATGTTCCATATCTGTTGGAACTCAGGTTTGGAAAGTGCTGCTTCTGGGGCTTTATCCTGGAGAACAGTTACTTTTTCATGGATAGACACTGCATATCACGTGGATTTGAGGCTGCTTAGGAAGGGTGTATAACTCTGTGCATGTTTTTGCTAATCCCAGTGGTTGACTGGTGGCTCCTGTGCAGATTTCCTTTTTCCCCTCGCTGAAAGGGTTCAAGCTTCTGGCAAAAAAAGTCACAGGCTGTTCCCTCTTAAGCACCCAGATTTCCACATGCAAATCCAGGCAGGAGATAATGTCATTTGGAGCTGCATTGTCATCCTCTGGCTACTGTCTGCTGCTGAGCAGCCACAGGGAGGAAGAGCCAGAGGCAGCACAATTGCTTCCCCCAGCCTCCCCTTCTCCTTTTCTTCATGGGTCAGAGATCTGTGGAGTTTGCACACAACAAAAAATGCACTGCTCAGGCCCTCCAGCTCTGAGCAATTTCATTTCACTGCACCCATGAACTCTCATGATCCCTTTCCATCATGTTCCAGAGCCTGGTCCTTAAGGTGGCACAAATGGAACTGTGAGGATTTGCAGGAGTTCTCTGTTTACTTTCTGGTTTGAAATCCCTGAGCTCTGGGCACTTCCCTGGCGTGGCAGAGAGCTCACTACAGGAGCAGGAAAGTGCTGTCATTCTCCTGGAAGTGAGTTGTTCCTGCCTGTTCCTGTGTGCAGATAATGTAGGAAGAGTCCTGGTGTCCAGCAGAGCCCTGGGTAGGGCCTATAGGAAAGATGGAGAGAGACAATTTGCAAGGGCTTGGAGGGACAGGACAAGTGGGAATGGCTTCCCACTGACAGAGGGCAGGGTGAGATGGGACACTGGGAAAGAATTCCCAGCTGTGGCTGCCCCAGCCCTGGAAGTGTTGAAGGCCAGGTTGGACAGGGCTTGGAGCAACCTGGGATAATGGAAGGTGTCCCTGCTCATGGCAGGGGGTAGAACTGGATGGCCTTTAAGGTCCCTTCCATCCCAAACCATTCCATGATTCTATAGCTTGAAGTCCTGTCTTTAAGGCTCTTTCCAAGATATCAGATCCCTCCTCTTTGTTCAGAGGTGCACTTTGAGAAGCCTCCAGCACAGATTTGATTTGGACTGAGTGACCAATCCTCAGCTCCCAACAGTTGTCATTCCACTCTTGATCTTTTGACAAAGACATTCAGCAGAATTCTTTTTCCCATATTTCTAGTTGTTTCAGTCCGGGATCAGAACAATTTTGGGTGTAACTTCATGGAAAGATGCAGGAACTGCTTTTCACAGTGACAGAATTGCTGAGATTGGAGGAGTCTTGAAGGTTTCTGGATCAGTCACTGCTCAAAGCAGGGTCAGCTCTGGCAAGATATTCAGGAGTTTGTCCAGCTGAGTTTTGATTGTCAGCCTTCCTTAAAGCCTCCAGTTTAAGCCTGTGACAAAATTCAGTGGATGGATGGAAGAGATCCCTTAAGGAGCAGATCATAGAATCATTAAGGTTGGAAAAGGCCTTTAAGATCATGAAATCCAAACGTCAACCAGCACCACTACCATGTTCATCACTAAACCATGTCCATATCCACACTTTTGTGAACACTTCCAGGGATGGTGACTCCACTGCTTCCCTGAGCAGCCTGTGACAGTGCTTGACAACACCTTCCATGAAGAAATTGTTCCCAATATCCAGTCTAAACCTCCCCAGTGTCGTCCTAAGTCTGGCTGGTTGATTGGATCACACCAGACTTGAAGATTAGGAAAAAGGAGGAAAAAAGCAAAACCCAGGGAATTCCATCTGTGGTCAAAGGGAAATTAGTGGAAGGACTCAAGGCTCAGTGACACGATCTCTGGACAAGCAAGATAATCTGACTCTTCTGAAGTGCTTGTCAAAAATAGTCACCTCTGAACTGGTGCTGTGATAAAGTGTCCCAGCACATCAGATGTGTCACAAAGCCACTGTTCCAATTAGCCCTGCCCAGGCTTTTCCAGTGTGGTCATTAGCAGGCATTTTATGATCTTGACCTGTGGAGTAGCCTTTGGCAGGAGATGTTTTGTATGAGCTTAATCTGAGCTGCCTTAACTGTAGAGCTGATCTCGGACTCAGTTTTTCACTCAGTGGCCAAGGAGTGATCTGAGTGATGGATCCTTTCTCTTGTTTCACACCAGCACCGCTGCAGTAAGTGGGGAATGTTGAAACTTGGATTATCTACCTTATCAAAGGAAGAGGGAGTTGGCTGGAGGATTGTAAAGATTGCAAAAGAGTGGAATTGCAGAGGGTATGGAAGGAAATGCTGTTTGCCCCTGAGGGTCAAAAGGAGTTTCTCTAGAAGTAATAAAACCAAGATACAAGTTGAAGCTGTTGTTTTGATGGTTCTGGGATATGTGTTACTAATCAGAGGCACTTGCAACCCTTAATTCTAAATGTCAAACACAGCAGTCTTTTTTTTTAATTATTTTTGATAAATCATGTGCCCAGCTCAAACCTCCTTAATAAACTATACAGGGACCTTTGTTTAAAAAGAAAAAAAATACAAGTCAAAAAAACGAGAGGGGAAGAAAACAATGGCTGGGCTTCAGAGTGGACCTAAATTGAAAACATCTGCAGTTTTTCCCAGGGAGAGCAGCAAGTGATCGAAAATATTGAATTGTAATTATGATGCTCTCTGGAGACCTGCAGAGAGGACCTGTTTTGCAGGGTAGGATCTTGCCACACTGTTTTTTGCCCCCCACTTTCCCTCTGATTTTCTCACTCGCTCAGGAACACTGGGAGCTGGGGAGACAGAAAAACAAATTCCATTAGTTCCTATCTGGTTGAACTTCCTGGAACCCCCACTATTTTTTTTTTTTTTTGCTTCTCAGAATTTCCTTCCTCCATCCAGCTGTGTTTCCTGATGAAGCCTTATCACTGGAGAAAATGCTCCTGAGTGAGACTGAGGATTTGGGAATGAGTTACAGACAATCCCAACTTGGTTGCTGAACAACATGATTCTGGCACTGATTTCGCTCTGGGGGCTGGGGGAGTAGCTCTGATTTGCTCCAACTCTGTTTAAGGTGCATAAAAACCTGAATGTTTTGCATCCACCTC